CAATAACAATCTATCAGTCCCAAATCCTATTTAATTGTTCAAAACTAGACTTCTTAAGTATATAAGCATTTTTCGGGTTTGACTATCAATTTGGGGTATTTCGAGTCTGAATTTGGCCAAACGAATTGCGGAATCGGAATCAGGACGTCGAAAAACATAAAGTATGACTTTTCAAAAATTTAGATTCTTGGTCAAAGTCAAAGTCAACTACTTTGACCATCTATTTGGAGTCCTTTGGGTTCGAATTTGACAAAACGGATAGCGGAAACGGATTTGGCACGTCGAAAACTATCAGGATAGGTATACTCGGAAAATATTAACGGTCGTTTAATGCTCGGTCAAAGCCATTTTAAGTTTTGGTCAAAGAAAGTCAACGGTCAACGGTCAACGGTCAACGGTCGGGTCGAGTCGTGTCAACGGTCGGGTCGGGTCGGGTCAACGGTCGGGTCGGGTCAGACCGGTCAAACCGGTTCAGACCGGTCAAACCGGTTCGAACCGGTTGAAACCGGTCAAACCGGTCAGAACCGGTTGAAAACCGGTTAAACCGGTTTCCAGCAGCCACCCGCCCTGCGGCGGCGCGTGTGGCGCGTGAGGAGTCCTCCGGGGCCCTAAAAATCCCGGAAAAATTTCTAAAAATTATTTTGAGCGATTTCGAGATACTTACAACGATCGGTTCAAATTTTTGAACGGCGGAGAGCTCGATTTCAAATCAGCCGAATCTTTTACTGCACCACCTCCTCATGCGTCGCCGTCTACGGCGGACAAGGTTGACATCGGTGAACTCGGAACGGCACAAGGAACACGATGGTGCAGGAGGTGTCGTAAACGGAGCAACGATCAACGGTGAATTTAAGATTTTCTCGGCGATAGAGCTAACAAAACCGTCGCTACTTTGACTGGAAATTCCCGACGTTTGGCCGCGTTTCGCTTCAATTAATTTGAAGGGTTTGTTCCTCGCTCGATGATGAACACAACGGTGGTTTTAAAACAACGATCGGAATTCGGACGGCGTCGGAATCGAGTTTGGAAGTTGTGTGCGTGAGGAATGATTTGTGAAATTGATTTCTGTTTTTCAAAACAGAAATCACGCATATAACAATTGCCTGCCGACACTCCAATGTTAAATTCAGGGCTTGGTCCCTGAATTTTCTTTAACTTTAAAACAAGCTCCAAGTTTTAAAATCTTTCAATTCAGTCCCAAATTTTTGCCAAATTTTCACAATTAAACCCTCCAATTTTAATTAAATATTATTTTGAAAATCGAGTTGTTACATTTCTAATCACAGTCACTTAATTTTTTTTAACATTTATAGTTTCAACTTTTTATCAACTATTTTTATCTACTTGAATTTTCATACCAATTAAAAGCATATTATTTTATTTACTATATAGTTTTAGGCATATTAAAATACTAATAAGGTAATATAGTCAAACTAAGCAGTCCTAATTTACTATTACAGACCATATAGTCATAACCGATAAATCAGGTTGATAACATAAATATACATGCCACTACTAGTCAAAAGAAACATCGGCGATGTCTTACTGATACTGATATTACAAATGATCTGCATACGATGCTTGGAGGCTCCTCACAAAACGTCCGTGTCTCAACCAGAACTTACGCATGAAAATCATCACGCGCTAAGTATAACGTAGTGAGGCAGTAATACTAAAGGTGAGAATAAATAAATAAAATATCGATATATATATATAATCATTAAAAATAAAGCAGGCTAAATTTTCAGAATGTTCAAACCATATATCTCATAATGAACTTTATCAGGAACTTGAAAAGAATCATTTGATAATTTTCACAAGATCATAATAAATCAAATCAGACAGAATAATCAGTCCATATTCCTTTGTAGTTATACACTTTTAAAAACTTTCTTATTTCATTTTTATAGCCCAAAGTATACTTTAAGAGAATATAAGGTACGTGAGTCAGACGAGTGTGCGCAATACATATCTCAGATCATCAGAGTCGGAACAGATAAGCACACATAGTGCTATTACATTGGAAATAACAATATGCACACAAAGTGCATTCAGATCATAATATATATATTAGTGTACACTCTGGTACACCACAGTATATCAGAATCAGAACAGATAATCACTCCACCTCATGGCATGCCAATTGTAACTTTGACTCTCTATATAACATACAGTGGACTTTCAATTCATTTCGTAATCATTTAAATAAAAACCATATTAGAATCAGAAATATATTTAATTCACATTCGTAAAACATAACATGGGTAGTTCATACCCAAAATCATTCGTAAAACTTGTTAAGATATTATGGTTATAATTCCATAATCAAAACATAATTCATATCTTTGAAATAAACAAGGTGAGGTTGACTTATCGCAAGTCGTCCTCAATCAAAATAATTAAATAAATAAACTGCACTCACCTTTGCCTCACTACAGAACTTGTATACAATAGTCCTAGTCACAAGCTTTTTCCTTTCGAATCGTTCGAATTGCTAGATTTATCATAGTCTGACAATACCAAATTATACACAAGAATTGTTCGAACTACATTTTAATATCATACTAATATAAACTGATTTTAATATTTGAAAATCTACAAAATAAAAATCGATATCAAACTAAATCACATTTCTATTATAATTTCCAACTTTTGAAATACTCTTCCAAATCCATGAATATTTATTTTCATATTTAATCCTTCATCTTTGATAAATTACACAAATAAGCCAAAGATTGTGATTTCTTTTTAGAATTCATCTCCACCTTTCCATTAAATTCATAATGGTCCTTCACCATTATGATCATTGCACATAAATTACTAAAATTTTCATATTCAGACAACTCGCACTACCTTTAAAGAATCAGTATTATGTATTGATATACTCACTGTAATTTAATTTCGTTTCTTCCATTGCAAACTAGACTCGAATACGAATCTATCCATATAAAATAACTTCTTCTAGTTCATTCTGTACAGTTTATGGTAAATTTTCAAAGTTGACTGACAAAATCTGTTTTGTACAGAATCTGCTGCTCCGTTTTTCTGACATTTTCTCTGTTAAAAATTCATATCTTTTTGTATATACCTTGAAATTGGTCCATATTTATTTTAAACAAAACTAGATTGATATACAAACACAATATATAAAAATAAACACCAAATCATTTTTATATAATTTCTGGTGAATTTTCAAACTCACTGCCAGATTCAAAATCTAAAACTGTTTTCCTTAATTTGTATCCTTAGGTTCTTCATCAATTCTTACAACCAATTCCTTAAAAATCACTTAACTCTTCATAACCCCAAATCACATAGAATACTTCTAATATCATTTCTAGACCATAGGAAATTTTCCAATATTTTCCCCTAATTTTCCTTGTTTGATCGAATATATCTAATGAAAAAGGGTAAAGATTCCATTCCATTTCAAGCATGAATTCATATTTCTTGCATCATTTTCATGCTATTTTAACCATAACACATCAAGTTGAATCCAAATCCTAACACTTCTATAAACCCTAATTAAGCCAAACCTTATTTATGCATGTACAATTAATTTTAATCATCATACATGCCTTAGAAATAATCACCAATATCAAAAACATAAAAATCCTTCATCAATTCTTCAAGATCACTAAACCTCCTTAAAGCCTAATCATGAATCTCATCACCTATCAACTTCACCATGAAATATTGATATCAAATGATAGAGAATTTCATGTAGATTAATTCTCTATCTAATAGCTAAATCCAAAAATCAAGTATATTGCTTCAAAAAATCAAAATAAAAATCCTTACCTTGGAGAACTTGGAGTTTCGGTGGAGAGAGCTGAGGTTGTTGCTGAAAATGTTAAACTTTTCTTGAATATTCCCATGATAATTATCTTAACACATGGCATAATATAATAAAAATATAATTTTTTTATTCAATTTAATAGAAAATTTCATTTTTACCATTAATGAAACTTGAAAATTACTAATTGCCATTGTCATCTTTTCTATTAAAATATTCCTTAGTCAAAGATGAATCAACTTGACTTTGACTTTCAAATTTGACAATACAATTTTCAAAAATTGCATTTTAGTCACTAGAATTCCACTGTTCAGTCAAATCTAAAAAATTGCATTATTCTGAGCCAAATTTCTCTGATCTAAAATATAAAAATAATATTTCCAACCATTTTATAACCTCCTTCAATTTTTCGTAAAATTTCGATTCAATCCGAATATCCAATTTCAATACCGAACTTTACTGCTTTTATAGTTTTTAACACAATTCCCGTATAAAAAATTTGATTCCTACCAAAATCTTTGTTTTAATCCACACTGTTCATTTACATACTAAAATATATAATTTTTAAAAAAATTACAATTTCGGCCCCTAAACTTTTCAAAGTTTATACTTTAACCTCTAAACTTTCAAAACTTACATTTTAGTCACTAGTCAAAATTTAGGGTATTACAATTTTTTTAATTATTGAACTTTAATATTACGCCATTTTTTATTACTCTATTGGATGACCAAAATAGAATAAAAACTTAAGTTTATTGATGATTTTGAAAAAAAAATAGTTGTCTAACCAAAATGAATCCGTTAAAACAGTTGAGTGACTAAATATGTAATTCACCCTTGCTTTTTTTTTAACATAGTTAACTGTTTACGAAATGACAATTTAAACTTTATGGAGCAAAATATTTTTAAAATACTTTAGGAGATAATTCAATACAAAGTGTATATTTTAGAGAACAACTCGATACAAAATATATATCTTCAAAATTAACGTTAAGATGTAAAAAAATGTGTCATATCATCTGAATATTGATTATATAATATATACTTTATAATATATCAAATATCTTTATTGTCGATTTTTAAGATAAAAAGTTATAGAAAGTAAAAATACTTACTTTAAAATTAAGTTAAAGTTTATACATTGTAAGGCAACATTTTATCTTATAACCTAACCATGGGAGTACATATAAAATCTTTAGAGTGTTCATTTTTGGTCACCCTTGATAAAATTATGATACCATAGAGCAGATTGTTTGGGAATTCGTTTCAAATTATCAGCAAAGTCAACATAATAGAGTCCAAATCGAATTCCATATCCTTCTGTCCATTCAAAGTCATCAAATAAACTCCAGTAGAAATATCCTTTCACATTCACTCCATTCCTAACCAACATAAAACAACACTTATTAGCCAAGTGTATATATATATAGTGTAAAACTAAGTGAGTATTACATGTATTTGTATGATTTTTTACTATTAATATTTTAATAATTTAATAGTTGAATTTAGGACCCACTTACATAATATAAAACTCTTTTAGATTTATATAAATTTAGGACCATAGGATGAATAAAAATATATGACTAAAACGATCATAAATCTGTATAAAATTAAAATAATTTTACATTGTGTAATATAATTATATCCCTATATATATTAGTGTGTAAATCGAAAATATCTTATTATTTATTTTATATCAAGACTTTTCAATTGTTAAATATATACTAACAAAGACATCATTTTGGATTGACATGATAGTCATATTAACTTAAAATTTTACATGCATAAAAGTATAATAATTTGGTAAATTCAAATCGAATTACTAAAAATTTCAATCACAGAAAAACTTACGAAAATGTATAATTATTTAAAACATAGTATAATACTATGTTATTCGATATACTTACTCAATTGCCTTGGTGATTTCTTGCAAATGTTTTTGAACAAATTCAATTCTATGTTGATCGTTTAGAACTCGTTTCGTTAATACGGTGTCGTTTCTTTTCTCAGTAACACCTAAGAGAAATATTTTAAAAAATAATTAGTAATTATAAAATAAACCAACAGAAAATAAGCATTTTATAAGCAAGAGGTTTCCATACCATTCTCGGAAATGTAGATTGCAATTTTTTCACCGTAGTGTTTCTTCACATACTTCAAGATTTTGCGAAGTCCTTTGGGGTATATGTAAATGTAAGAACTTCCCTCAGATTTTGGACCAATCAAAACTCCATCTTTTTCCACTGCCACAATAATGAAAACGATAACATCTGTTTGTATACGTTATGTTATTCGGATTCGAATAGGTAGTTGATACGGTTTAAGTCAATTTACCTGTGGCATTTACATGTTGATCGGTGAAGGGACTAACTGGTGTGCCTTTCGGGAAAGTGGGGATGTTCTTGGAGTATCTTGAGGTGTAGTAATTCAAGCCAATGAAATCGAAAGATCCTTTGACCAATTTCTTCTCTTCTTTGGTGAAAACAGGCAACCTATCTTTTACCATTTTTTTCATGATTGATGGGTATTTTCCTTGCACCAGTGGTTCCATGTACCTAAAAAATCACACCAATTTGAACTTATTCTTTGATAAAAAAGATATATTTCGATCTTATGAATTAGAGGGAAATACTATAGTTGAAAAAAAATAATGAAATGGGATTCGCCTGGGATTGTTTAGGGATCTAGGGTTGATTCTACAGTATGTATTGAAGTGGTAGTCTAGACGACAAAAGTAAAGTCATCATTCCTCCCAATGACTTCATCTATTTTTTTTTTTTAGTTTAAAGAAAACTCGTCGTATCTTGAATTTTTCAAGTAGAAGCTGATACTCATGCATGCAATGGGAGACTCGTAGGGGCTACACAAAGAATTCTTTTTAATATTTTTAGAAAAGAATTATGAGAAATTTGACGAGAAGTAACGATAAGTTCTCTTTAATTTTTTTTATAAAAATTATGTAAAGTTGTCCGGAATAGACGATAACTTTGCCTTAAGTTGCCAGGACACTAGGACGACTTCAATGCATACTGTAGAGATCTGGGGTTGGTTCGGAATTATTTAAGGATCTGGTATTGATTCTATAGTATGCACTAAAACCGTGCAGTCTTGACCACAAAAGTAAAATTATCGTTCCTCCCAACAAGTTCATTTGTTTTTTTAAAGAAAACTCGCCATATCTTGAATTTTTTTTAAGCAGAAGCTGATGCTCATGCCTGTAATGGGAACCCCATAGGGGCTACACAAAGAAATCCTTTTAATTTTTTTAGAGGAAATTATGAGAAATTCGATGAGAAGTGAATGCGAGTACCCGGAATGAACAATAACTTTGCCTTAAGGCGCCAGGACACTAGGACGACTTCAATGCACATTGTAGAATCAACCCCAGATTCCTAAAAGTTCCGAGCCAACCTCGTTTCACTTTTTTTTTTCAACTGTAATAATTCTCTCATTGTGCCTATATATTCCTAAGAGATTGTTGAATAATAGGAAAGAAGTGGGGTTTTACTAACCATCCCAAGTCGAAATCCATGGCTCTTTTTGCAGCCCTTTTATCAGCTAATGTGTTTGAATATGGCTCGTAATACTGTGCAACATTGCTCATTCCGATTACACCTCCTTGTTCTTCCTGTTGAGTCAAATTCAACCATTACCAAACATGATAAGTAAATAGTTGATGGACCTCACACTTATTCAAAGTTCAATATTTTTCCGATGTTAGAAAAATTAAAATTTAGGGTTTAGGATTACACATTTTTTATCTTAAATAATCCATCAAAAGAAATTCTGTGGCATAATTATCACCTGATATTTCTCCTTGTAAAGTTTAGCAGCCGTTGCGTGGGCAAGAAGAAGGTTATGGATAGCAATATAAGGTTCAGTGGCTGAGTTACCGTATGGACATTGTTTTCTATCTGAACATCTCCCTGGTGGAGCACTTCCAGTGGTATACCCGAATTTGGCAATGATGAATGGCTCATTGACTGTGATCCAGTGTTTAACTCGATCTCCAAATGTTTTAAAGCAGATTTCAGCGTAGTTCTTGAAATCCTCCCTGAAAGTAGAAAGATAAATCAATGAAAACCGATCCAAAATCATGGTATCACATGTTGATATGTTTCTTAATTTGTTTCATATATTTTAAGGGCCATACTTCAATAGTAACGATCTCACTTTTTGAAAATTTCAAATTTTAATACAATTCAAATATTTTCTACTGACGAGCTAATTTTTTACCCTTTAAATTTTATAATTTCACTTTACTAAAACTTTAATATAATTTTTTAAAAGTTCACTCCCTTTGACATAAAATCACATGTTTTTTTCCTACTTCAATACTCATTCGAATATATACCAGATAAAAGAAATGATAGTCTAGATAAGTTGGAAAGAGGCATACAAATGTTAGAATAGAACTTACACAATATTACGATTTAAGAAACCTCCATACATGTTTTCAAGGGCTTCCGGACTGTCAAAGTGCAGCAATGTTACAAAGGGTTTAACGCCTTGAAATGATGAAACATAATCCAGAATTAATCAAATGTCTAATAAATAAAAGGGTAAAGTACACTAGAGGTCCCTAAATTATGATTAAATGATCATTTTGATCATTAAACTTTTAAAAATTACAAATAATCATTAAACTTATTGAACTTGAATGTAAAGAGTTTTAAATTACCAATTTTAATTAGCTCATCGATGAGATTGTTGTAATGATCGATACCCTTCTGATTTATTCCACCACTTAGAGTTCCATCTACATAAAAGAAAAAAAATGTAAGAAACATAGTTTCATAGAATTCAATTGATTCTCTTTTTGTCTTTAGAAATGATATGAATTGGAGAAAGAAACAATTACTCGGTAAAATCCTGGTCCAGGGGATTGAAAATCTATAGGCGTCCACGCCCAGATACTTTAAAGCCAATGCATCTTCCTACAAATACATGCATTTAGCATTATTATCTTAGAAGTGAACAAGATTACCGAAGCTTAAACCATGATATTTGATGTTCATATATTCAAGGATGGATATTTTTGGAAATATAGAAAATGTGAAATTACAAAATTTTAGTACATATAAAATTTGATTATCAATAAAAAATACTTAAAACATATGAGAATTTCAAAATTTTAGAGGATACAACCGTCCCATAACCCACTTCGGTCCATCCTTACAATATTTGTATTTTCATACTACTTTTGTTCATGTTCAGGATTCATGATCGTCAATTCCAACAATATTATTTCAAAGTTGAAGTTTAATTTTTCCCTTCAAGAGTATAATTTTATCACTATACCAAACACTTGTTAATTTTATCATATTATTTCTATACTTCTCAAAAATTTGAAATAGAGATAATTGCACAAGATGTTCTAAATCTAAGATCTCATTCTAAATTTATTCATATACTTTAAAACATTAAATATTACTCCCCAAACTAGGACATTCATTCTAAATTAATCTCTAAAGTATTATATATCCATCTTCACAATATCAATATTATTTTATTTTAATTTCTTTTATTAACGTGACTTAATTCTACTAATTTTTCAAAATTATATGAATTAAACCCGTAACTTTCTAAAATTTGTGTTTAAGGCTCATCCAATGTAACATGACGGAGGTGTTACCTTATAGCGTCGATACGAATCAATTGCTACGTCCAATGTACTGTGGTCCGCTATTTTCCCTGCATGAAAAAAATAATTAAAAAAAGAATTTACATAAAAATCTTAATAAATTCGTTCACTTGAAATCACCACTGAAAGATTCTAACATGGAAACTGCCGTTGAAATTGATCCCAAACACTCGGCCCTTTCCCTTCAGATTTTGGAGATCCTTCGATCTGCAATTTCAATTCAATTAATCAATTGAAAGACACCCGCATTGCATCGAGTTACTCATGAGTTGAATCGAGTTAAAAGGAGTTGGAAAAGGGGAAAAAAACTAAGCGACGTGAGATTTAACTTACCTGAGCAGCCGCAGTGGCGACTCCAAAAACAAAATCAGCCGGAAAATCGGATCTCTTCACATCAGCAAAGGATTCGTGAGTTACTGCAAAAGCGAAAGTTTCACTCCGTTAAAGAAGATAAAGGATTAAAAAAAGCGATTAAGAAGATGCACGAACTTCCGCTATGAACAAGCAAAGCAAAGGCGACAGCAAAGATCAAAGTGCGGTGAGAATTCCCGGCTGATGCAATCGAGAACGAAATCATTTTCTTCTGGTTTTTTGAAATGATCTGTTTGGCTAAAGTGGCGAAAGTGTACGCATTTTATAGTAGAAATTTAACCGATTCTTTTCATTTATAGTAGTAAATGGAACAAACAGTTGAACAGGCACTTGCCACGAAAATAAGCGGTTTCTCCTATGAATTGTAACCGAAATTCGGCGATTCTGTTTGCAATTAATTCCGATATTTGGCTCTATACTTCGATTCTAGGTTTGATAAATCGTTGGGATACAGAACGTAAACGAGATTTACGGTCTGAGTTTGGAAATCAAGTAGTCGAAATCTCCAAAATAGCGCAGGAATCGGATGAGTGATCATTGATCAACGATGGTGGAATTGGTGAAGCCGACGAGGGAACCTTATTGAAAGTCTCTGACGAAGTCAAGGTGTTTGATGAATTGTCTCTGACAATGGTGAAGAAGTTGCAAGTCAAATGTTATCTGTTACAAAGGAAGCTGATGTGAAAAGGAAATAGATACGTATAATATGAAATGTGATCTAATTTATTTAGGATAAATTACACCAGATACCACTAAACTTTGGTGTATCATATATAATTGAACTTTCAATTTCTTCAATTATAGCATTAAACTTTCAATTTCTTCAATTATAGCATTGAACTTTAGTTTTAACTTCAATTATGACATTGGGCCGTTAAAATCCAAATAGTATGATGACACGAACAAAATGACATTGTTTTGGTGTGGTTATTGATGTCTAAAACGATATTGTTTTATACACTAAACTTTAGGAGTGTGTCGATTTTGTCACTAAACTTTTAAATAGTTTCATTTTTGGCATTATATTTTTTTAGTTGCCATCAGCAACCAATCAATTTGTCCTTCACTGGTCGTCTTTTGCGACAAAATCAATACCAAAACGTATGTATTTCACTTCTCTTTCTTCTCCTTAGATTGATTTATAAGAAACTCACTCAAATCGACAAAACTAAATAAAAAATCTATTGTTTTTTAGGAATTTGGGTACTTTCTTAGATTTGAGGATTTTTTGGGGTGTTTGTTCAAAAATATGAACAATGAGAAGTATTATTTTAAGAAAACAGACAACATATCTCAAAATTAATCTCATCGGACGACCATTGGAAGAGATCTAAGTACTAGCACGTCGAACTTTTAAATGATTTTTTGTCGATTTTAAGAGGGTTTTGTGGAAAACTAATCTTATGAGAAAAAAGATGAGTGAAATGCCAATGTTTTGGTACCAATCTTGCTATGAAAGACGACCGGTGACAAAAATGATTGGCTACTAGTGTCCGCAAAAAAATACAATGCCAAAAATAGAACTATTTAAAAGTTTAATAGAAAAATCGATACATCCTAAAGTTCATTGCTTAAAACAACGTCATTTTAGGTACCAATAGCATCGCTAAAATGATGTCATTTTGTCCACGACATCATAGTGACATAATGATATGTCCACACCATCGTGTTATTAAAATTTAACAACCTAATGACATAATCGAAGTTAAAATTAAAGTTCAATGTTATAATTGGAAAAAATGAAAGTTCAGTGGTATAAACAATATATTACTTAAAGTTCAGTGGTATTTGATACAGTTTACCCACTTTTTTATGCAATCTTAAAGGATAAAGTACCACAGTGCTAAATTTTGTTCCAATTTTGACCATCGAAGTTAAATATATATATATATATATATATATATATATGTTTTGATCAGTTATGTTTCCTAATTTGTTGTTATATAGTTACTAAATTGTTAGGTCTCGTTATTTTGAGAACTTTACATGTTAAAAAATTAATTAATTTCTAATTTAACATTTAAACTTTATTTCATTCATTCAAAACTTTATTTAAAAAAGTCCCAAGTCTTATGTCATTGGCCGCCGCTAATTACTGCTGGAAGCGACCGATAGTCTTCAAAAAATTTCGCTCACTCATTTTCATGTATGTTTTATCAAAAAAATATCTCAAATTTCGTAAATCTAATCTATAACTATATTTTTCTTATACGTATGTTTATGAAATGTAATCTTGCTTTTTATACGTCTAAATTACTCATAACTATTATATAAACTCTTAAAAATAAACATTAAAACGTATTTAAGTGTATTTTGAATTTACAATCTCTAAAAAAAATATATATATAATAATTTCTCTAAAGAATCACAAGAATTGAGATTTCTTTTTATGTGTAGTATTTTTCACTTATCCATTTGACGATTATTTCCATGAGCATTGACAAAAATGAAATAGGACTTTATTATAACATTCAACCGGCGGTTATTCACATGAGCATTTAATGTTGTGACATTAACCAAGCAACAAATTTAAATGTCGCTGATCCCCGTTCTTCTTTGTTCCTGTGAATCAATGACAAAAATGATGAGTTTATACAGCTGCTCGATCTTTGTTCTCTCATGGTTACTTCTGTTGTCGTTATCCGAGATCAACGATGCGATACCAGAACCGAAGATCACAATACATACATAGTTCAGATAGACTATTCTCGTAAACCTCCTTCCTTCTCGACTGACGAGTTATGGCACCGTTCGACTCCTCGATCATTGTCTGACCCTGTTGATGATGAAGCAATGTAGCTCTAATCTTACAACCATGTCATTCGAGGCTTCAGTGCCAGGCTCACATCCTCTCAGCTGTCCGAAATCGAGAAATCCCCTGCTAATCTTCCTACATATCAAGAGTCATTCGGCAAGCTATTCACGACGCACTCCCCGAACTTCCTCGGACTAAAACGTAACTTTGGCTTATGGCCGGCTGCTTCATATATATGGTGAAGGTGTGATCATCGGTGTTCTCGATACGGGAATTTGGCTGGAAAGCGAGAGTTGTAGCGACAGGGGAATGGCACCTATACCACGGAGATGAAAGGGAAAGTGTGAGAATGGCACAGCCTTTAGCCCTCCAGCTTGCAACAACAAGCTCATCGGTGCTCGATCGTTCAGCAAAGGAATCCGTGCCGTAGTAGGAAATATCCTGAGCGAATTAGACTACGACTCACCGAGAGATTTCGAGGGGCACGGAACCCACACATCATCTGCGGCTATAGGTAATCATGTAATCGGAGTGAGTCACTTTGGATTTGCAAGATGAACGGCAATAGGGGTAGCTCCACACGCACATGTTGCCATGTATAAAGTCTTGTGGGAAACAGATTCCGGAAATAGTGCAGCAAGTGATGTACTAGCCGGGATGGATCAAGCAATCACGGATGGTGTGATATCATGTCGACATCGCTCGGTTTTTACCAGATGCCTTATTTTGACGATCTCATTGCTATCGCTTCTCTTTCAGCAGTCGAGGAAAGGATTGTCTTTGTTTGTGCTGCCGGAAATGACGGATCTCGTAATACAACATACAACGGAGCACCCTGGATCAGGACCGTAGGGGCTGGTACACTCGATCGCGGTTTCACAGCCAAAGTAACTCTAGGTAACGGGGTTACTTTCGAAGGAACATCATACTTCCGGAGAGCATTTACATTAGCAACACACCATTGTATTATGGAAAAGCCGATACAAATAAAGCAATACGCAGCATGAGAGCACTATATTCTAAAGAAATAGCCGGGAAAGTAGTCGTGTGCATTAACAGCGAGTCAGCGACGGTAAAATTGATGTTTCCGGTCAAATCGAGGAGCTTAACGGAGTAAGTGCCTATGCAGGAATAGTTATATTGGACATGTCGGACTTAGATACCAAAGACTACAACACTCCCAGTCTGATTTTGCCGACTAATTCAGGAAAATTGGTAAAAGAGTATGTAACAAATGCAAGTGAAGAACATATAAGTAGCATGATGTTCGTGTTTACGAGCTTGATATAAAACCAGCACCGGAAGTTGCGGATTTCATGTTGAGAGGACCGGATCCTGTCAATTCGAATGTTCTAAAACCCGATATCATTGCTCCAGGAGTTGATATATTGGCAGCAGTAGCAACAAACAGGGCACCAAACTCGGCTACAACGAGGCGCAGATGAGAGCCGATCTCAGACGAAGCCGATGGGATTGCAACCAAGAGAGAAACGAACTGAATTATCCATCGTTTATATCGATATCGAGCAAGGATGAAAGGTTCCCCGCGGTGAAAGAACTTCACCAGGGTGGTGACTAATGTAGGAGACGATGAATCAAATTACCAGGAAACTACAAGAAGTTCAGATGAAATGAAGATAACAGTGGGGCCTGCTAGTCTGATGTTCACCGAGAAGAACCAGAAACAAAGTTTTGTTGTGAATGTAGAGATTAGTGAAGAAGCTCCTCCGTTGGTTTTCGGCTATTTAAAGTGGACTGATCAACGTTCCCACGTAGTATCAAGCCCCATAGTAGTCCTCAACTTATATTATCCATTTTCATCTCATAATGAACACCGGCAAAAATAAAATTTAGAAACCGATTCAAATCATAGTGTTCAGCTCGGTTTCATTTTAGTTTTACTAACTCTGGTTTGGTTGTTATTTAAATGTATTTGATTTTATTTAACTTTTGATTTACAAGTTAAAATTTTGAATTTAATTTTCAAGCTACATATAGATATTTTAAAATAGTTGAGCAACATGCGATTCATCTATGAACCTATGGTTAAAAAAAACTTAAAATGAAAGAAGTTTTAAAAAAGGGTAAGGTAAACAAATGGTCACCCGATTACGTAGTATTGTTTTATTGAGTCTTATAACTATTAAAAGTTACAAAATAATTTATTGGTTAAATGATATTATTTTTTTGAGTCCTCCAACTATTAAAAATTACAAAATGGTCACACGTCCAAACTCATCCTTTTTCATTGAAAATTTTACGACTGTCTGAGCTAGACGTTAACTTGTTGACTAAGATATAATAAAATATGATCTCATAACCATTTGATTTTTATTTTGTGGATTAACTCTCTGTTTACATTATGTCGTCGAGCCAATACTTGAAAACAATTGTGGTGCTAGTAGACATCATTAAAATATGATTTTATCATATATCAGCCAACAAGTTAA